TGGGTTTACTTTTTATGAAAAGATTTGAAGGAGAGAACTTGCAACCTGCTGTGTTCCTGGTGCAGAAGAGCCCAGCAGTCTTTCTTCAAACCATAAGTGGGATGCAGTTTTATGTTCTTGTGAATCTTATTTCTGTAATTGCTTCCCCCTACTGTGAGTGCTCTGTACCTGCTCCCATTGCAGTCACAAGGAGCAGGACCGTGTTCCTCTGAGGAAGAGTCATGACACATTAGCTGTTGAAGTCTCTGTAGAATCATTGAGTGATCTCATAACTTGCTAACAGCGTTCCTGAGAACAGACTTGTATTTAGAGCAAAATGTTTAAGAATAAATAATTTTGAAATAACAAAGAAAAAGTCATCCTACATTATTTCCTTATTACACCTGAGGTTTGCAACAGACTTGTATTTAGAGCAAAATGTTTAAGAATAAATAATTTTGAAATAACAAAAGAAAAAGTCATCCTGCATTATTTCCTTATTACCCCTGAGGTTTGTAATTTCCTTGTCCTGCAAGTAGCAGCCCTCCACAGAGCCTTTGTCCACCAGACTGTTTCATTGACTGCTGCTGCCACCCACATTTTGTTCTTACTAGGGAGCAAAAGTGCATCCTACATAAGTGCTCATGCCCAGACTGCACTAAGCAAAAGTTGGATAAGTTTGCTGCTGGTTTAGATTCTTCTAGGCACTAATGGAAGCCAGAAGTATCTGCCAAACTCACTGAGGATTTTTCTTGAGCATTAGAACTGCATCTAATGCCATTATTTAAAATTAAAGTGAGAAGCCCAATGCTTCAGTCCTAATGAAGTCCACATCTACATAAGTGCTCATGCCCAGACTGCACTAAGCAAAAGTTGGATAATTTGCTGCTGGTTTAGATTCCTCTAGGCACTAATGGAACCAGAAGTGTCTGACAAACTCACTGAGGATTTTTCTCGAGCATATAACTGCATATAATGTCATTATTTAAAATTAAAGTGAGCTGCCCAATGCTTCAGTCTTAATGAAGTCCACACGGTTGAGGACAGTGTAAGAATATGGAGCTCTTGTTTATGTTTCATAGAGGTAAAACCTTATAAAAGAAAGGCCTTATAAAATCAGGCCTTGCTCAGCTGAATTAACAGCTAGCCTCTTAAGTTCCCATGAGAAAGAATTCTAGGAATGAAAATCAGTTTGCATAACAATCTATTATTGTGAAAAAAAACGGGTTGCACCTGTGAGAAATAAAAAGTTTATCCCATGAGAATCCATGAAGAAAATACGTAAACACCTGTGTAAAGAGAGAGTCAGCACATACACACACAAGCACCTTCTAACCAAAGAACTGAGTGGCAAGTAAGTTACTAACCAATTAGAATTAAACAGGATGACTTTGAAAACTGTGTAAAAATAGGCTGTAACATTCAAGTGGGCTTTCTGCCACTGAAACTTTGAAGTGCTGTGCCTGTTGTTATTCACTGGCTCTTGTTATAATAGCTCTAGAGTTTCAGAGAATCAGAGAATGGTTTGGGCTGGAAGGGAGATTAAAAGACCATCTAGTTCTTCATGCTTCTCACTACTCCTAGAATAATACCATTTCTTTTCCTACTCCATCTTGGCCTTGAACACTCCCAGGGGTGGGCTATCTGCAACTTCTCAGTGGCAGACTGGTTTGCCTCTTTGCTGCTTTACCCAATCAGTAATCATCTTCATCCTTAAAGACTACCAAAGGCTTCAGCCTCCAAAGCTAGAAGTGCTCACAGGCAGAACCTGTGTCCATCCACAACACACACAGACCTGCCTTCTGTACATAGCCTCATTCCCAGCTGGGCTTTGGGTTAATCTCAAAGAAATTGCAGAGTAACACCCAAAGCAAGGAGAGCAAGGACGGTAACGCTCACAGTTACTCTGTGAGATGGAAAGCTGGGTGTCATCACCGTGGTGATCCGGAGTTTGCATGCAGGCTTCTGATCAGAGCCCTGCTTGTGAAACTCTGGGACTCTGCAGCCCTACCAGCATAACCAGATTTAAGGATGCATTTGGTATTCATCTGGGTCAGGTCCTGCGCTCTCCGTGTATAAACTCATGGAGCTCATGCTTTTGAGGGTAGAAAACACACGATGCTGTACAAATGTGAAGTTTTATTGTGATTTTGAGTGTTTCTATAAATAAACAAAAGCAAACAAACTTCTCTGATTTATTGTAGAAGTGGAAAGGAGCAGAGTGTTAATGATTGGATACAAAGCCTATACAGTGAAAGGTTAAAAGCCAAAAAAGTGCATATGTAAATACGTTTAATGAGGGCAGTTGCTGATAGCAAACACTGACTGTACATAACATATCCTGGTGTTATAGAATACATGTATATACACATTTATATAAGACTGAAAAGGCACTAGAGTTTCCCAAATAAAACACAAGTAAATCAATAGTGTAAATCAAAACACTGAGGTTGGGGAATCAGTTTAGGGGGTTGTGCTGGAAGGGAAATTTCGAAAAATCACATGGGAAGTTGGAAACTAGGTTCCCACTGAAAGCCAGGGAATTCAAAAGTCCAGCTCCCATTTGTATCTTCAAAATCTCCTTTAATATACTGATCAGATGCCAAATAATATATGTAGTATGAGATTAATGAGTCTATAAAGGAATGTACCACACTGCAGAAAACTACAGAACATTAAGCTTCTTATGAAGCTGAAGAGCTTACTATAAAATCTGGCACTCTTGTTCATGCTATTCTTAAATTGTAGAAATAAATGGGTTCTTGCAATACTGAGAATCTAAATACATTCCTGTGCAAGTTTGCCCAAGAAACCTATTTGTGGGGAAAATTGTCATCAGAACAAGGAATAAAGAATAGTGTAGGGTGGGCAAAGCTGGTAGTCAACCTTTTATCTACTTTTTCCAGAGTGACCTTTCTACTTTCATTTGACTGAAATTTTTACAGGTTAAAAAAAAGGCATTTTTTTAATCTCTTATAAAAACTTACAGGAGAATAATATTCTATGAAGGGGATGTGATAAAACAAAGGTACATGTGCATGTAAAAAAAACTGTAGAAATAAGTAGTAGAACTCTTATGAGTGGGTATGTTTTTCAATGATTTTTAGCTTTCATGATTTTACTGAATTACCTATGGAGTGTAGGCTGTGTAAGATAAGTGTAGGGAGTTTTTCAGGTCAGAATTTTAGCAGTTGTAAGAAATGCTGAGTATGTTTATGTAACATTTTTACACAGGAAATAAAATAAACAACCAGCAGTGTTAAAGCAACTGCAATGACTGTATCACACACCTGATGGTAGAGTGACAGAACAGGCAGGCCAGGGCAGGTGTCATGCAAGAAGATTCACTCTCCTTTTGGAGTCACAACTGCTTTGGTCTGATGCTCAGAGCAGATCCACCTGTAAAACACAAGAGTATCTGCTACTCTACTGTGCAGCCAGGAATGAATTCTGCAGTTGTGTGCAAAAGCGTGTGGTATTTGAAGTCCTGTGAATGCAAACTCTCAGGTAGCTTTGTGAACACAGGTATATATAGTGTAGCAGCAGAAAAACTGAATGATCACAATTCTGAGACACCTTTGGTGCTGCTGGTGTTGTAAAGGCCCCTGATTCCATTCAACTGATTCTTGGTTTTCTGAACTATTTTATCACTTCTGTATTACGTATTCTGCCTTTTCCATATGGAGTGTATTCACACTAATTGGCTGATCTGCAGACACTCTGTTGGAGAGTTGGGATTTAAGTCAGAACCATGTGCCCCCAGCTCCAGCTTGTCCCCTTGCTCTGCCTTGGAAGGCGCTGAGCCTTCTCTGAGGGCATGGTGGGCTGCAGGATGCTGGGGAACAATGCAGCATGAAAGCAGATTCTGTCAGTTCTACCTGTGTCTGCAGTGGAGCTGCTGTCTTATGGTGGAAGCTGTTTTCTTACTTCATTCCAAAGATTTTTACATTGTATGTCTTGTAAAGTCCTTGCTACTGCTTTGTCAGCTGTTGAGCACCGTTCTGTTATGCTTTTACTACAAACAGATTAACCTGGATTTTCCTGAAAGCGAGTACAACTACTGCTGGCATTGCAGGCTGCAACAGGTTTTCAGGTTTATACAGGCTGGCAATGCCCAGACCAAATCAGAGGAAACAGGCTTCTCCTGAAGTAGTTTGGGTTTTTTTTTCATAGACAACAGGTTGTCTTCATGAGATCATTTTGTAGAGAAACCCATTCCCAGGAAACTCAAAAGCAAAGCTACCAGTGACCCAAATAAGCACATCCAAGGGGAGTTCCTGTGTTTCCCAGAGGATTTGGCTGGCATTACAGGAAGTCTGGCTTTTGTTCATTCCTTGTTTAATGTACGTTTATGTACATTTAACAAAATGTATGTTTTGTTTATTCCTTGTTAAATTGCAACACATATTTTAATATCTTGGTCAAGACAGTTTGGAAATATTTCTGTGTTTTAAATACTATTAAGATAAAGCACAAGTCTGAAAGTATTGCTACACTGACCTGCGAGTGCAGTACTGCTCATTAGTCATGTATTAAGCTGTGAAAGTTGTAGCCATCAATAACCTTGCCAAAGCATTTCCCAGTACTGGACATTTTGTGTTTGTAATTACCATTTATGACCTCATTCTGCAACCATGCAAGTATTTGCATATTCTTGTATTAATTGGTATTGAATGTGGTCAGTCTGCTGAGCTGAGAGATGCATGCACTCAGGTACTTAGAGAATTAGGATTTCAGGGGCACAAAATGGATGATGCACCATATACAAGCAACTGGTAATTATAGTCACTTGTTAAAATAGTTTACAGTGGCCTGTGAGGCACAAGAAGGAACATAGCACATCTTTAAATAAGTATAAAATTTTAGATCGTATATCCTATATTTTGTTGACATGTGAAACTTCCACAATTATTTATGCCACGTGTGAGTTGCTGCTAATAAAAAAAGTTAAATCCTGGAAAAAAATCAATCTTCCTTCCAAATAAAACAATTCTCTATTTTCCTTCTCTTAGCCTATGAGACTGTACTTTCATTTCCTGTCACAATGCTCTGTGACTACAGAAGTTAGGAATGTCTATGAAAAAATGGACCAGTATATCAAATTAAATAGAATGTATGCCCCAGGGAATATTATCCTGGAGTACTTGTCGATGGCATGGGTGTCGATGCGCATGCTGACGTATCTCTGGTTTTTCCTCCTGGCCGAGCCCCTCTCCGAGCCCAGTGCCAGCTGCACCATCATCCGATCCTGCTTGTCCCCGTCCTCGGACATGAAGTGCCCCAGCTCGTTCACGTCCCCGTCGTTGTAGCTGCCGTCCACCATCATGGGCCGGGGCTGAGGTAGGCTGCATGCACAGGCAGGCTGTGGGCACACACAAGGGCAGCAAGGGTTGGAGCTGTGTCCACACACCCACAGACACCCCTTTCCTCCTTCCGTCCCATAGAGGTGGGGAAAGGCCTGGGATTCAGGCTGCTGGGATGCAAAAGGGAGAACAAAACAGTGGAGCTGGGCAGGAGCTTTTTCCGTGTCCACTTCCATGTCTGCGACACACAGGTACAGTCGGGGCTGTGTGTGGAAAAGCTTCTTTGGTTTAGGCATGGGTACCACGGTACAAATAAAGGTTGGACCTGTGCCTTGTAGCTGAGAAAATCAGAGGAAGACATAGGGAAACCACAAGAAGGAATGAAGCCCACCCCATTTAGAGAGAAACCCCCTTAGGCTGAAATATTAGTTTAAATTTAATGTAACAAGGGCAGAGTGGAAAAACTGGGGCCACTGTATAAGTTTAGACTGTGCATAGACAAAAGTGGGGGATATCTGTCATGTCATCTGAAACTCCAGCCACAGAATCCAACTGATTCTATCCACAGGTTTCAATCTACAGTATAAAAAATATTTCAAGGTAAAATCCTAAAACCCATCCTATCTATACAGGCAGTGGAGGAGGATGATACCTAAATTAGCCCAAAGAAAGAGCAGTGAGCTTGGGCATGGGTTGTGTGTGGCAAATCTTTATAACCCACAATGCCTCACTGCTGGTGTCTTTTTGCACACATTGCATTTTCCCCAGGCAGCTGAGAGCTGCAGCTGCAAAGCTCTGAACATTTCCAGACTTTTGCCATACCTTTTCCCAGGGGCAATAAAATGACATTGGAGATAGAAAACCTCACCTTGTCGCGCAGTTTCCTCTCCTTCCGCTCTTGCACCGTTGTCAGGTAATTCACAGCCGCGTATTCCAGCACCGAGAGGAAGACAAACACAAAACTGACCCACAGGTAAATGTCCACTGCTTTGATGTAGGAAACACGAGGCATGGAGGCATTCACCCCAGTGATGATTGTGGACATGGTCAGCACGGTGGTTATTCCTGGGAGTACACCAGCAGAAGAGACCATAAGATGCTTTCAAGCCAGACTCTTCATCACAAATACAGCGTTTGTTACAATTTCCTGACATCTGAATTTACCTTGCAATATTTTTTTTCACTTTTGGGTAATGAGTTTCACTGCCTGAGGAGGGTTCAGGTAGCCCTGATTTGTAACTGGACAAATATATCTTGTTCAGTTTTCTTGTCTATTTGGTGAGCACAGCTCTAATTCTGGTCCCAGGCTGTTGCTAGTCTGGCTCCTCACCACACCACCAGCCTCCCATCCCATGGCCAGGCAGCAGCACTTTGACCCTGTGCTGGCTGTACCCCATTCTAGGCTCAGGACAGCCTCTGGAGGGGTACAAATACATAGATTTGAACTCAGTGATCCTTATGGGTCCCTTCCAACTCAAGATATTCCATGACTCTATGATTCTGAGTATCTCAGCTTCAAGTTCAACCCCTCCACATCATGGACACAAGTGAAGCTGCTGCTTTTACCTGTTTCCCCTGTGTTTTCTCTATGCTGGACTTCTCCTGGGAAGTCCTGCTTCATGAGAAGGCACAGAGTCCCCAGCTCTCACACTTGGTCTGTGCCTTCACTGGAGCAAAATCGGGGAATAATGGTGCCCCACAAGGCAGTGCTGTCCCATGTTACACCCTGGGCAAGCACAATGAGCACAAGAGCAAGGGCAGGAGCCCCTGTAGTTCAGCATTACCCTGGTTCTGAGAGAGCCTCTCCATGGCCCTTTCATTTCAGGGGCTAATTATGTTACATTAGTGATTACTTTGGAAGTTGAAATTATGTATATAAGCACAAAGGACTGAATTCACAGGAGTATCTGGGTGCTAAAAATACTGCTAAGGCAGTGCCTACATCTTCTGAAAAGCCATAGCCCACACCCTTATGCTTCCTTTAATGATGTCTTGAGGCAAAGGGTGCTGTTTCTAAATTCAGACTTGAAAAACTGCTCTATTGCCATCTATTTTGTCTGTCTGTATTCTCTCCACTGAGGAATATGATTTTAAAAATAAATAAAATCCTGAGGCGTGTTGCCTGGAATAAGAGGAAGAAAGCCTGAGTTCAGAATCTGCAAAAAAGCAAACAACACTTTGCTGAGAGCAAAGCATCCACTTTAGAAGAAGATTTATGTCCATATCACAGTTGTGCTCCTATGGTGAATCCTGTGACATATGGCTTCATCTCTCAAAAAGATGCTGCAAAAGGGGAAGCTGAATCCCTCACACTACAATGCAAACTCATTTAAAAAGTTAAACTGCATGGCACAGTTCAGCTCTGTTACCTCTACCCTCCCTCCTCTAGCAAAACTCAATAAACTGAAATTTTGTCAGGGCTGCTGATACTGATTTTCACTTTCTCACTCCCTGAAGTCCTGAAGGATACTGACACCTTGGCTGTACATGTGCCCCGTCCCTGTTTAGAGCAATAAAAGCAGAGTGGAACGTTTGCTCTTTGATTAATTCCAGGTACATCTTGTGCAAACAGGGAAAGCAATTCTCTTGGCACAGGGAGACTCTGCACCATGTGGGGACACATTTTCTGTCCCTGGGGCACGTGTGTGTGGCATAGCTGATTTCTGTGCTTTGAGGCAGCACTGTGCATGGCACTGGGGCTTTCACCTTGATGGTCAAGGCTGTGGTAGCAGCCTTTGTCTCTTAGGACTGCTGACTACCAGATTGTTTTTACCTAACGGGACTCTGGCAGGAACTGCTCGTCGGTCGATCCAGAAGGACACCCAGGACAGCATGACCATGAGAGTGGCAGGGAAGTAGGTTTGGAGCAGGAAGAAGAAGATGTGTCGGCGTAACGTGAAGTTTATATAGAGGCGATTGTACCACCCTGTGAAACAGAGAGTGAAAAAGAGGAGTTACCCCAACACCAGACTACCTTCAGATAGGGTGATGCTGCACCAGGGGAAAAGTGACTCATTTTCTCTTCTGAAAACACAGTTAATGGCTGCAGATCATTGCAATCTACAGAAAAAACTCCTTACTGAACCAACTATCAAAGTCAAACCATCTCTTGGGTTGATGAATTCCAGAAAATTTAACCTATGCAATCAGAGAGTTTAATTCAAGTGAAGACTTGGTGTGACTTTGAAGAAGGATTATCTTTCCAGACTACACGACCATTAAGACGGAAGTGTGTGGCAGGGACAGCCAACTTGATATAGAAGAGTGGCAGGTCTGATGGGAAACAGAGAGAACCCCCAGTGGACAATCCTCCATGGCCAAGGTAAAGAGAGACAGTTTTCACCCTTCTTCCCCCAGCTCTGGCAGGTGCTCTGGTTGCCCACCTGTGCTGCTGTAAAAGGCAAGCTTTGTGGTGGTGTGAAACTCCTGAATCAGGAACTGGGACAATGATATCCTCTCATCTGTTTTTAGGGAATCGTTCCCATTCTTCCAGTAGAGCATAAGGTCATCTTCAGTGTAGGCATCTAGGGAAGCACAGCAAATTCAGGATAGTGCACTAAGACAGTTGCTACCACCCCCACGGTCCAGGGCTTACCCACAGAGCTCCCAGCTGAAAAGGTCAAATTCCCAAATGCCACCCACCTAGGTGGTGGGTATGGCTGTGGCAAGGAGTGGGCTAGCTCATGGTCACAGCCCTCAGGCCTGATGCCTGGTACATTTTGTTAACCCTCTGTTTCTCTAATCATAGTTTCATACACATAATATGTGTGTCAAGTAACCCACTGCATCAAAACTTGAAAAATTCTTTTCTGTAAACTTCCTAAAATCAGAAGCAAGGAAAGGCAGCCTTAGCAGAAAGAACCTGCTTAGGGTGATGAGAATAACAATCTGAGAGGAACAGTCTGAACAAACAATGGTCTGAGGCATACAGGAGAAAAAACTCTTGGAGAAAAAGATTTCTGCCTATGATATACACATGGGCATTACTTCATTTTTTAAATAAATGTGAAACATTTACTGTTAATCCTTTCAGATGTGTTTAGTAGCAGCTCTTTCCACACAGGAAGAAAAAAATCGCATATAAACACATTAAAACAATTAAGATTGTCATTTCTTATTGCAAGCTTAAGAAAAAGAAGAAAATAACTCAAAAAAGCCAAAAGTTTAAAATGTTCCTATGTGAAACCTGGACAATTCATATGTTCATTATACTTGGAACAAAAGGCATAAGCTGGCTTTATCTCAAATAGGCAATTAATATCACTACCCCATCATGGTTTCTACACCGTGGATGAGCAGATGGTGCCCATGAAGGGCATACAGCCATTTATCCATGTGTTTGAGGGCACTTGGGCAAACAGGTGCTGTTGGAGACTGCTGACTGCAGGCAAGTGGCCCAGAGGCTTTGGGGGTGGGGTGGCAGTGGGGCAGCCTGGGCCCCACTTGGCATTCAGGGTCACTGGCAAGGCACTGCTCACAGCTGGTTTGTAAAAACACTTGTTGCAAACACCATCTAATTCTAGTGAAAAAATACAGGCAGGGAGCTTTTCTTAGTGTTGAAGTCTGATGCCTTTGGTCAGAGCTCCCATGAATGCAGCAGCAGTTTAATCATTGTTATTGTTAATTATTGATATAATTAATTATTGGTATAACACAGTTTGGGTGCCCATGGGGTGCCCTTGGCTCCCCCATACCTCCACTTTACTTACAGCTTTCAATCTCCAGGGAACATGTCTGCGTGTCCAGGGGAAAGCGACTAAAATCCATGTTGCACATTGCTGTTACTGTAACTCTGGGAATAATAAAAATCACTCCATTAAAAACTTGTCTCTTTATGGGACTGTAAAATAATAAAGCTGTGAGTTTGGTCTTTTATTAAACAACTACAGCCAGTACCATACAACTGAAAATAAATTCTTTCCATTCAGCTAAAGCCATTCCACTTTTGTTAAAGCCATTTCTTCCTCTCAGCAAGCTACTGTTAAAAAAGGTGACTCGAAAGTTAGGCCATTACAAATTGCAACTAGGCGACAGAAGTATTGGAGGATAAAATGAGAAAGGGAAAAAAAAGCGTCCTTTTTGCGGACACTTCACCCCGACAATCAGAAAACCCATCTCTACAGACATCTGTCCTTTAAACAGATGCCTTGTATGATAAAATAATTTGCATTTATCAAAGCCATCGTAGCTGCAACTCACGAGGGGTTCAGGCAATTTCCTTGCACACCGTGAAATTTCCAGCTGCTCAGTGGAAACTCAGTGATCACATATGGGAATCAGCCACCAGAGGGCACAGGGCTGGAGTTGGAATTCAAGCGACCACTGAAATGCTCTGGTTCATCCATCAAAATCTCTGGCTTTGCTATGGTCTGATTATCACATTTTTAATAGCATAATTTGGTGTTTGAACCAGAAGCAACCATAAATCTCGACTCTACTGGTTTGGACTCCAGAGAAGTAAATGAAAATAAAACTATAAATTATATTGGGGAAATAATTAATAAGTTATAGAAGGGTTAGTGGTAGGGAGACACAATACATGATAAAAACACAATGCAATCCCTTATATTAGTAGTCCTTCTACACGATTGGATTCTGTCATCATGGTCTTGCTTTCCTGTCTGGAATTAGCCTTTGAATGAAAGTGCTTGGCTCAGCTGGAAGTTTAGGTGCCAGTGAGGTCTATGGTGGTTTCCTAGATGGGAAAACAATGTCTGGCAAAGAACCCTAAAAAGGCAGACACCAAGGAAAAATACAATCTGCAGGCAAAGGCATTCAGCAAGGCAGTCAGGCAGTAACAACCTGTCAGGGAGCCTTTGTCCTTCCCCAGCATTCACAAAGCATTGCAACCTGCACTCGCTGCTGAATAAAACACTGAAACTCAGCCAATTTGCTATTGAAGTCTTTCACCACCACTTTGTACCGGGCAATTGTTTAAGCACAAGGCTGTGCAGGATCTGAGTTTGATGTCCTCCTGTTCCCATTTTCTTTAGATAACCATAAATGCTTGCATTGCAGGTGATTGGCAGCTAAATGAGTGTGTAGGCGTGCATGCCATAGGTGAACAATATGTCATATTCTTGTCCTTTTTTATTGTACTCAGGACCTGACCAAACTTTGCAAAGGCCTAAAGAATACCTGAACCTCATCTAATCTGCTGAGTGAAGAAAAAGCTTTGATAATGAGAAGGTAATGTTCAGGCTATGAATTCAAATGAACTGTAAGATAAAAATATCAAGGAACAATACTTGTCAAACTGATGCCCCCTAGAGAATCAAGAATTTCTTTGCTTGACTTTTTTTCTAGAATCATAAAACACTTTGGCAGGCTGAGAAGTACCCCCTCACCTTGTGGCAGGCTCAGCTTCACCTCTGCTGCTACTGACGTTCCCTAAAGGTCTCCAGAGCCTTCACAAGCAGTATATTCTGCAACTTTCTCACTAGTTAAATCTATGAGTCTTGCTGATACTGACCTCCTATTAGCCAGGTTTTCCTTCTTTTTGTCCTTCAGAATATATTATCTATCATCTGATGCTTTATTTATCTGGTATTTTGTTATTTCATTGCTGTGGAGGTGATGTTGACATTCTTGCATCAGAATATTGTAAGAAATTTCCTTTCAAATAGGTTTTTATGGGTCCTTTGGCAGTACTTGTTTTCTAACTGGATGGAGCTGCAGCCAAGTAAAACAGAAGAACATATTTTGTATTCCTTTAGATATTGACAAATTGATTGTCTGGGATAGAGTTAAATTTTTTTCACAGTAGCTATTGTGGGAATACCTCTTGGATTTGTCAAGAAAACAGTGTAATAACACAGGGATATGTTCATCATGCTGAGCAGGGCTTCCACGGCATCAAGGCCTTTTCTGTTTCTTACACCACCCTAAAAGGGAAGAGGCTGAGGGTGCACGGGGAGTTTGGAGGGGACAGCTGACCCCAGCTGACCAAAAGGACATGCCACAGCATATGTCATCATGCTTAGCATATGAAGTGGGGGAAGAAGGAAGGGGTGGAAGTTTGGAATAAAGGCATTCATGTTCCCAAGTGACCATTACGTGTGATGCTTTTCTGGGGCTGGCTGAACACCTGCCTGCCCTTGGGAAGTGATGAAGGAGTTTCTCTATTTGCTTTGCCTGTGCATGGGGCTTTTGCTTTACCTCATTATCTGCCTTTATCTCAGCCCACGAGGTTTTTTTGTCTTTTACTGTTCCAATTCTCCCTCCCACCAGGACAGAGTGAGCCAGCAGCTCCATGGGGCTTAGTTGCCAGCTGGGGTTAAATCACAACACAGATGCTCCTCACTTAGCATCTCCAAGCATGAAAGTGTTACCAGAAATTTAAAAATCCCAGTTTAATAACATTCAGACTTATGTCAACTGATTAACTATTTGGAAAATAATGGAGAACGTGAGGGCTGGGACCACCCCTCAAGCCAGAGGACAAAGCAATGTTTACCAAAAATGTCTCCTGCAAGGAGCTTCCATGGATTTCACATGAAAAGGGAGCAAACAGCAGGAAGAGCCAAACCAAGTGTTTGGCTTGCTCTAACAATACACAGGATTCACCAAGAGCTATATACCCTTGCTCTGAAGCTTGTCACTTCACGTGCTGAAGGATGTTCCCTGTTTTTTTGCTTATTATAAAGTGGCACTCAGTATAACTTATACTTCTTCATTATTGCTTTCAAGAATAGAAACTGCACATTTTGCTAAGCCCAGAGACTTTGCTGTGTAGTGAAATGGATAACTATAGCTGCCCTGGACTTCTCTTTATTACCAGACACTGCCCTTTCATTTAGGATGTACCCTGCCTCTTCAGCAGTGCCCTGTGGGGATTGCAGCCTGCTAGCCTCTGCTGAGCCTGCTCCAAGGGACTGCCTCGTCTGACTGCAGCTTCCCAACAGGGACAGGGGCTAGTCATGCTCACAAGGTGAAGAGGCAGTGGTGGAACCAACAATGCTGGCACAGAAACTGGCTTTCTGCAACAGACACTTAAATGTACTCATACAGGCACTCAGATGTCTGTGAATAGCCAGCACATTCATTCTTTTTTATGCTTTTTTTGTATGAAGTCATGCAAAAACACAATACAGGAATCAATTAAACCACTTTCTCTTTCCACTAACAGCTTGCATTGACTGAATGCAGTTTTACCTGAGGCTATAAAGTACCTTCCCATCTGGCTGGACCCGCAGCATGACGTTGTCTGTGGTGGTGTCGTGGATGAAGGAACGCTTGGAGTGGACAAAGAACATGTCAGGGACCCAGATCTTCTTCACCAGTCTGCCATCAAAGGTCATGCTTTGGTTGTTGGTGCTGGGGAAGGACAGCCTCTCATCTTTCCAGTAGTGCCTCAGGTAAAGCGTCATGGTGAAGTCCTGCAGCAAACAGGCTTTTGTCACAACTTACACCTTATCAGCACAGTAGGGATTGCTCCTCTCTGGGACAAACCATGAACTGTAAAGCACCTCTGTAAAGAGGGCACATCCACTCCCCGGGCTGCAAGGGGCATCACCAGCTGCAGCTTGTTTATACATCAGGTCAGATACCTTTACTGTGCTCAGCCACAACTCACTTCTCCAGCTTAAACTTAGTACACAATGAAAAACTCTGTCACTGATGTGTCTTCATTTAAAAAGCAAGTAATGATCTTGCTAAGCATCATGGCATTTTTCTATAAAGCTGCACGAGTTAAAAAGTATTGATTCTGAAAATGTAAAATCTTCTCCATTATTATTTTGCTAACAGCCAAAATCGACCCTGAATTTTATTTTTTTTTTAACCTGAGGCCATCTAATGGTTTTCCCATGTTGATAGTATTGCAACATGACATTAGAGGAGGAACAGGGGCAGTATTCAAAAGCCATGGGAACTAATTCAAAATCATAATGTTTGATTGAAAAAAAAAAAAAGAAATGGTTTGTTGTTTGGGTTTTGCATGGGAACTAATTCAAAATCATAATGTTTGATTAAAAAAAAAAATAACAGGTTTGTTGTTTGGGTTTTGTTTGGTTTGGGGTTTGTTTTGGGGTCTGGGTTTTTTCTTTAGCTTCTAAGTCCTCAATGTTAGTTCTTCCAATTGGCTTTCAAGACCCAAAGCTTTTTAGGGGCTCTCTGGCCACCTTCACAAGCTTTCTCCTCAACCAGAACAGGTGAAATCTCAGGGTACCCATGGCTAGGCTATCAGGGTGCCAAGAGCACTGGAGTCAGGGAGTCAGCCGGAAGGGTCCACAGTTCTGGGGAAAATGCTCACCCCTGAGGTCAGATGACTGCAGATATCCCAGCCCACACAAGAGCTGAAATAGCTGCAAGAGAGAAGCCTGACATGCCACCAGTGTGTCTGCCATCCACCAGCTGTGCTGCCACACAGCCCTCTGCCTGGCTCAGCCATGGGAGGAGGTCTGGTGCAGGCTCTTTATCCCTCTCTCTGTTAATTAGGAGCACAGAGAATCTGGGGCTTCCTGCAAAACCTTCAGGGCTGTTTGATAATTTTGTTGAAAAGTCAAAACCTTTTGAAAAATATTCTGTATTGGCAAGTGATTCTTTTATCTTCTGATGCAAAACCTGAGTTACTGAGAGATTCTGTGGGTCATAGAATGTTTGGATTGGAAAAATGCCCTGAAAGACCATCTTTAAGGGCACGTTCTTCTTACAGCCCCCCTGACATTGGCAGGCTACCTTCCACTAAACCAAGTTGTTTAAAGCCCTCTCCAGCCTGATCTTGAATGGGATGAGGCATCCACAACTTCTCTGGGCAGTCTGTTCCAGGGCCTTGCCACACACTGAGTAACCAATTTCTTCCTTATATCTGATTAAAACCTACCCTCTTTCAGTTTAAAGCTATTCCCCCTTTTGCTTGGGAGCTCTCTGGCCCCTGACTACCTCAGAACATGCCCAAAGTGACTATGTCTGCAGCATGTAAGTGCCTTGAAACAAACACATTCATTGGTTTCCTCAGAGCTTTTAAGTGTGTTATCACTATTTAAGAAAATATAGAAACTCAAATCCTTTGAGACAGTCTTGGCAAGGTTTTATCATTTTGTCCTAGAGAAAAGAAAATGACAGATTTCTTCCTTCTGCTTCAAGGGCCATGAAATGGTAGCATGAGGTCAGTAGAAGTAATAGTTGGCAGATTCAGATTGAATGTGAATGTGCCTTTGGAGGCTGTGGAGTGTTTGTCCTTGGCAGTATTCAAACCCCAAAGACACAAACCCAGGTAGCCTGCAGAGTTTTGGTCTCCAGAGGTCCCATCTCTGACTCTTACCATGTCCACCTCAGAAATGCTGTCCAGACTTTCAACTTGGACATCCACTCCAACAGGAATTGCAGGGCCTAGGGAGTTGAAAAAATTAGGAGGTGAAAAAGCACAAACCTCGTGAGACAAAGCAGTCCTCTGACTTTACTATCTTATAGACAGAATAGATGCTCAGTCTTGAATAGAAACAACAGTAAGCCAATAGAAAGTATAAATTATTGGAATTCACAACAAAAATCTCCTTATAACAATTAAAGTCAGTAATAATACTGACCTACTAATAATTTTCTCTTTTTTGTGTGTCATCCTACATGTGTCCCTTCAAGATTTAAAAGCAGCTTTAATTGTTTTTAGCTCTAGTGCTTGGGTCCAGGACTGGAAGAGACAGATTACTGGAACAGGATCCATTCACAGAGAGACGAGTGGTGCCACAACTAAGGGATATATGGGAGATTTTCCCTCACTTTTGCTCCCCTTGCAGGCTTATAACATCCATGAAAGTTACTACTTGCATCTGATTTTCATGAGGCTCAGTGCTCAGCTGTGGAAAAGAAAGGGTGACAGGAGGGGATACATTGCAGGACACATGTGCCATTGAGCCTGAGGCTCCTGTGGGGAAGGATCTAACTGTGACCCCCATGTAATAGGGATTCTGAACTTTTTTCCCTCCTCCAGGCTTTGACTAGTCTCTCATATACCTCTGGCAATTACTGTCCAGGGGAGCTGTCAAGTAAAATAATGCTCACATTTGTGAACTGCTGTGAAACTGAAATGTTTTTAAATTAATTGAACATGCTGGTATTTGGCATATTGAGCATTTAGCGATAAAATCTTCTTTCATCAGAGTATATAATGGTATCCTGGATTTGAATGACCATCTGTCAGCCAGAAAGGGTAGATAAATTACAACATTCTCTAATCCGATGGGCTGAAAGAAAGTGTGTTCTCCTTCATCCATTTCCCTGAAAGCTTCAGTTGCTATAGCACACAAAACTGTGAGCAAGCATTAACACAGTCAAAATATTTTATTTTGGGTTATAAATGAAGTAAATGTGATATGTCATTTGATTATGCACATGTATGGCCATACGAAGACAAAAACTTAGAATTTCCCATATCATCCAGGAATAAACATAAGGTGTATTTGCAGATTTCTATCAGAGGAAAGTATCACTGAGCACCAGGATTAATATATTGCCTGTTAATCGCATTTCCATGCCTTTGACTATGCTTTTTGCTCATCCAGAAGGCTATGTCACTGAACCTCTATTTCCCCGAGAGTGCCATGAATTCCCAACTCAAAAGAATAGAGATTAGAGACTGAGGAGCCAATCTGCTTCTCCACTGCTGTAAATGTTACAGTATAAAGAAGTGACAGTGTGAAACAGTGACAAATGTGCATGTTTCATACCTCCAAAACCTGGTCTCATGCTGAAGTCATGGTCGTCTATTCGCAGCAGCTGCTCTGACTTCGTCAGGGGAGATTTGGTGATGTCAGGGCTTCGTTTCAAGATTGGGCTACCAGGAGGAGAGAAGCACAGCTGTGAGCCCTGGGCAGTGCCTGGGAGAAGTACGCGCTTTTTTCACTCCATTTACTCCTCAGAACATCCACCCCTCAGAGCATGAGCCTGTGATTGTGGCAGTGGTTGGCAGATTGTCATTTAAAACTCATTCCTGCACTCAGCACGGAGTTTGGGCACCTGTGATAATTTTAACACTGAGAAAATGTTTGTTCAGTGGCTTTTTGTCCCTGTAAAATTCCCTCTGCATACAGCAGTTTAGGGACAGTCATTAAAATGTGGGCACTGGAGGAACAATATGTGTAGATAAGTGGAGAGGGGGAGGCATTCCTGACATTGACTTATGATGGAGTGTGAGGTCAGGAATTAGGGAAACAATATATCAAATAAGCTACTGGCTGCTGCCCAGGAACAAAATGGAGACAGTCTGGGAAGCAGGCCAGGAGGCAGGCCATTCCCTAACTTGGGATAAAATTATTAGCTTCTGCCCCAGATTTCCATCAAGGATAAAAAGCAGCATTACAGGCCTGGGAGGTCTCTGAGCATTTAGGAGCCTGGGAGGGTAATTCCAGAAGCTGTTGGAGCTGCACCGAATGCTGGGCAGGGGAGGCTCTGATCCCCTTCCACATCCAAAGTGCAAGCTGCTGTTCAGTGCCCCGGTGCTGTGGCTGGGATGGTGATGGCAGCAGCTCCTTGTGCAGGGGAAGCCTTTGCTGCCCTCAGAGCCAGCTGCAGGCCAGCCACTTGGGTGGCAGGAGGGCTCAAAAAAAGGAGGAAAGGTTTTGCTGCCTCTTGATTTTAGAAAAGATGGCACACTCAGAGAGGCACTCATCTGAATATACACAAGACAAGTAAGAAGTAGATTAAAGGAAAACAGGCTGACAAAGAAACTTGATGTAGGAAAAGTTCCTGAGATAAAGTTTCTCATAAAAGAGACTGCTTAGCCATGCCGGACTTCTCAAAGACTTGTTGAAAGTTGTACAAGAAGCCAACACATCAATCTCCTCACAGAGGCCAGTGGTGTTGTCAGTGACTCCTCTCTCAAATCCTTTATCTGGACTTCAAGGCATCTTAGAAAGATGCTTAGTCTAAGTTCAATATTTTCTAGGAGGTTTGGGTTGCCTACTTCCATCAGTGAGTTCTAGCTAATTATCCCTAATTATCCCTCAGGCACTTTAGAAGCTGGCCCCTGCTTTTGCTTGAGGCTTAGTTCAGCCTCTGAAAGACCTGTGGGTGTACATTAGGGAAGGTTTATGCCTGTCCAAGGCAGAGGCCAGTGGCAAAGCAAACATTGGAGAGCGGGTTTGACTGTGCCAGTGGCAGTGGGAAGAACAAGTGGCATGATGGAGAGCCCATGGAAAAGCTCTTGGAGGGAAGGAATCCAGAAGGGACTCTTGGAGGGAAGGCGCCCACTGACGCAGCACGGCAGCACAAACTGCGCATCAGCACCACACGAAGCCTGAGGGGATGTGGCAAATGGCCGTGGCCTCACCCCTCAGCCCCATGAGGGCGTCAGGCAGGGGGGCTTCCTCTGGGGCCCGCTGGATCCCGCTGGTGGCATGGCTAACACCTAAAGACAGCTGGCTTGTCCCCTTGTCCCCTGCCCCTCACCACGGGCCTGGGCCAGCAGGGCCTCCTGAGGGCTTTGCTTACCTGCCCTGCTTGTGCGCCTCGCCGTGGGCTTCCCGTCGCTGCCGCTGCGGCCGGCTGCATGGAGACAATGGAAAGGGAGAGCTGAGACAGGTGGACATGGGCAGGCGGGAGAGGATGGCAGGAGGAGGCAGCGGATCCCTGCAGCTTTGCCTTCTGTCACGTGTGAGAAACGGTGCTTGCCTTTTTTCACCCTTTCACCAAAGGCTGGTGTCAGGCTGGGCATGGCAGAGGGTGGGGAGGGTAAGGGATGCTCGGGCTCACGGCAGGCACAGGGCAAAAGGAGGGGAGCCATGACTTTTGAAAGGTGGGATGCCTCTGTTTTTGACTGTCTGGCAAAGTCCCCAGGCAGGCAGCTCAGATCCCACCATTCCAGCTTTGGCTGGCAACACCAGGGTCTTCGGAGATAGGAGCTGCCATGGGGCCTCTGGTGATGGAGGCACAGCCATTACACCTGCAGAGCAGAGTATGTTCACAAGAGGAAAAAATTTTCGAATTATTTTGGAGTGGGGAAAAAAGCAAAAAAACAGTGAAAATTGTTTCTGGCTTCATACCATCTCCCATCCGGCTGTCAAGAAAGGTCTTCTCTTTTTGGCCAATATTTTATTTAATCATTAAAGGCAAGAATGTTGCTTTTGGCCACATAAGTCTAGCTTGAGCAAAAGTAACATTTTAAACATTTAACAGTTCTAAGTCATCTTTAACTAAAAGAAAAAAAATTAGCTTCTCTCTGTAATAAACACAAATTCAAATCAACTCTACGAATGAGGCTTTTTGCCCATTAGCATATATTTCCAATCCCTCTGTAGAGACTTACAGTGGCAAAGCTCTTTTTGCAGTAATGGTTGACAGCGCCTGAGTACCATTGTCCCTTTGGTGTGTGGTGGAGGAACCCCAGGCCTGCAGGACAGTTCCTTTCTGGGCTGGGAACTTTCCAAAAGTATGGGAGGGAAATTCCTCCTGCTGCTGCCACAGAGAAGCTGACAACCAGGTCAGGAGTGGGGACATGGGGCTGTAGCATTGACTCACCCTGAAGTGAAGCACTGGATGAGTAGAATTTTTTTTCCCAGAATCCTCTGTCCTTCCCAGAGGAATTCTAGGAATAAGTGCACAGGTAGACAAGTGTTTGGGGGAGCCTTTGGGCCATGCAGCACCACTGCTTGGACCTGGGCATCACAAAGCAAAACACTTGCAAATGCAAAATGCACTTTCTGGAGGCTTCTGCCTTCTGAGACACTCTGATATGTCTCACTGCTGCCTGCTTCTCATCTGCTGGCTGTCAGGAAGTAATTTCTTGTGTTTTGGGGATAAGCAGATTCTGGCAACAAGCTGACCGATTTACATGACTTTAAGTGCCCTAGTAAACTCTTGGCTGTTCAGGAATAATGCTGGTATTTGAACAGGGATGAAGCAGGCCATATTCTTGCAATTTCTAATTTTCATTTCCCTTGTAGGTCTTATCTAATGCTTCACGGTGGCACTGTCCCTGTTCTGCTTGTCAAGCGAGACTTCCAGGCATGGTCATCAAGGATTCATGGCCAACTCATCCCCATCCTCTGCACTCAGCAACCCTGGGTGCTTCCTTTTATTTCCTCCAGGTGTTCCTCTCTCTCCTCTAAAATTGCCTGTCACAGACAAGCATAAAATGTCCCCCATGGTCAGTCCACTGCAGAGTACTGTGTTCATTTGAGCTTTGAGGTTTGGGTGTTTTGTTTCTTTTTATCTGTTACACAGTTACTCCAATTTGAAGCCCCATTTCTTTCTACTCAATAAATATCTTTTCTGCTCTGGTTCCTGGGTAGTCCACTGCTGGCTCAGTGATCAATGTCAGCTCCATCATGGGACCCCATTACTCTGCCTGTCTGGGCTGTGAATCGATGGAAAGCTGCTGTGGCTTCTGCTGTTTCTGGGTGTTTGCAGTCGCCAGCCCCAGCCAGGAGATCCAGCATTGTGCACAGATTGCTCACTGGCTGTGAGTGTCCCTCCTGCTTTCGCTGGGGTGACAGACTCCTTAAAAATAACAGACATTCCTGAAGTAAATATATTGAACAATGAACAACCCTTTTTCTCCCCCACACAATGTTAATATTTATCTCCTAGCAGCTACAATGCCAAAAGGCATTTCATGTCCCATGAAGCTCACTGAGATGCTTAGTGAAAAAGCAACAACTGGAGCAGAGTGGCATTTATTCACAGTGCTCCCTGTGCATTGCTAGAGTAGCTCTTGGGCCCTTGATGGCAGCTGGGGTGATGTAAGCTCTTCAAAGTCATTGTTATTACCTCAGGTCTACCGGCTGCTTCAAGGGATCTTGAGATGCCTCTGCCTCAAAGTCTGAGGCTTGCTGGGGCTCGGAGGCAATGATGTGGCTGAAGCGTAGGATAGCTGGGGAAGAAAATCAGCCAACCCAGATTTTCATCACTACTGCTACAGACACAAGGCAAAAGGCAGGTACCCTTCTTGTATTTCAAAGCATGATATTTCCTCTTTCTCTAATAGCCATTCCAACACAACAAGAAGTGTTGCAGGGTTAGGGCTAGCAGTGTCTGATTTTCAGAAGAAACAGTCCAAACCTGACATCTAAAGGTCCCAGCAGGCATTTCCAAATGCCCAACTTCATAGGACATGTGCCAGAGGAATGTCAGGTCCACTTTTACAATACGCATCAGAAATCCCACAGTGTTCTTTATCTTGGAAATAAGAACTTTTGGAAACAACCGAAACAAATGTGCAAGAGGTCATTACCCATCATAGCATTTTAGTTTGCAATTACTTCCCACCTATAATCCCACAGATCAGCCAATCCACAGACTTCCTTACCACTGAAGCAAGGCAACGGGGGATACGGAGCTTGTTGAACCAGTTTCCAGCAGGAATTCTAATCAGAAAGTAAAGAAAGTGATGCAAGTGCCTGCCAGCCATGCAATGGCACTTGGCTCTGGGTCCCCATCCCTGTGTGAGCAGGGGTGGACAGCTTGTGCTGTGCCTCCCATCCTGCACCTGCTGTGCTGCACAGACCTCATGCCATGGTGGGCAGGGGAGTGCCAGCACCCATATTCTCCTGTCTGGACAAGGCAGGAGAGGGGAGCAGAGGCAGCGCAAGTCCCTGCAGGGAACAAAGTCTTGGCAGGATAGACGTGGGATTGACAAAGTTGTATCGGTACTATAGAGATCTGTGAGAAGTGTAAAAATCTTATTAAATGCCTACATATTTGAGTAGGCTTTGATCTCCCTATTTTATGACCGGTTAGTGACTGGGGTTCATACGACATCAGCATCCTGTTAAAGGCCAAAACCAGACAGGGGAGTGCTGGGTTAGGGAATGGGGGAGAAGGAAAAAGGAACTGGG